CTGCTGAAAATATTTATTTAATCTCGCATCTAGCAACCTGTGTGATGTCAACTTCTCTATCACAATTAACAGTTTTATTTTTGATGTGCATGCTGACAGCTCCTAAAAGCTAATGGAAAGCCATATATGTGTAATTTAAAGTCTGATTACTTGAGTGTTAAAGTTCCCTGACAGTCCTTTATATTGGGAAGGGGAAATTTAATAAGAAAATTAATCAGCTTTGCTACATTAAAATAACTTCTCAATCTGATATGAAAGTCAGGCCTAAAGTTTGCTAATATTAACATATGGTGCAAAAATATGGTTTCACCTGAGAATAATTTCACAAATTATCATTTTGTAGATGGTAAAACCTGAGAATAGGCGATAAAGGAACTTTATATGTGTCTTCAAACATTTCAAAAGACAAGGAATTGAATCAATAAATGAGCTCTCTGAGCAAGATAATTTGCTACATTGTACTTGGAATTGATTGAAAATTTCACATGAATCATTTTTTCCACCAAAAAAACCAGATTTTATTCTAAATCAATATTTTCCATATGAAGATATTGACTACAGTATATTTTGTGTCAGGGCAAGTCAAAACACTGCATTTGGATTTGTCAAGCTGGAACATTTCATTTCAAGTTGAGTTAATATTAACTTTGATCTGGCTCAGCCTTGGTGTTGCTTCCCATGGCTACTCTCCCCATGAGCTATACTCTGCAGCCAGACTACACTTGCCGTAATGCACAATGGGTGATCGTCGCTACTGAATCTTCTCTTCAGATTAACTATGATAGCTCAAGTGGGTGCTGGCTTTTATGCTAGCTTTCAAACTTGCACATTTTTTCTTTCACTAAAATATTTTTGTTGGTTTTTACAGTTGTCAACAGTTAAAACTGTTTCATGGAAGGAAGAAGCCTGATATTTCAAATTTTGATGCTAAGGCAGATGAAAAGAAATGCAGAAAGTAATCAAACTTTCCTATAGAAGGAAAGTCCATTCGCATTTCTGTGTGTGCTCTCTCTGATTAATCTGATTCAGTTGTTATTTATATAGTTTTCATATTTTATATTACTTTCTAGGCTACAGAAGAAGATGAACCACCTTATTCTACTTTTCTCATTTTTCTTGGCTCCAGCATTTGCTGACAAAGAAAGTCAGAAAACAAACCAAAACTTTTCTTCAAAAAATGCCAGTCATAAACGACTGAAGAGAGACTGGATATGGAATCAAATGCATATCAAAGAAGAGATTGATACACCATTACCACACCATGTTGGCAAGGTAAATAGCAGTCTGTTAGCAATGAATAATCAGAAATGCAGACAGCAAATGAGTCTCTTGAAAAGTATTACTTGTTTGCAGTCTAGGCAGAATAGAAGAGGGAAAAAGGAAATAGAAATGGGACTTAATACCAACACACTAACATGTTAAAATCTTAAGAATGTGGACACAGAACAAATCAAGAATAATGTCAAAGGGACTCTAATTCTTTCAAAGAATACAAAAAAAATTTAGAGAATGGCAAATACGGAGCATCCACAGTGCAGAAACAATTGCATTGCATGCAGGTGCACAGTTAGGAAGGAAGTCTGGTGGCTGATGTATGTCAATATTTTTCTGGCAGCTCAAGATTCTTTCAAAAACCTAGGAGATAAGCTAATAAAAACATATGCATTAAAAAACATACAGTTTACATCTCTCAGCTTGGATACAAAACAAAAGTGCTATATTTAGGAATACTGTTGCACAATCAAAAAATTTGTTTCAAAAAGTGAAAGAAAATAATTTTTAAAAATAATAACGAGCATTGACCTGCTTGCAAACTCATTTTCTTCAGGGCAGTGCTCATAAAATCCTATGATTAACTACATATCACCCAGACAAAGTTCTTCCAATCTAGTCTTTCAAATTGAACTACTTTGACACTTTTCAGATAAATGCAGTTGTATGTTTTCCTCCCAGGTACAACAATCAGCATCTGTCAAGGCTGTCTCGGCAAAGTGAAACAGACCTTTCTGGATCAGTGCTGCTCACTGGCAGAAAGCAAGAGAGACAGAGAAAAGAGGCCATAGGGTACTCTCAGCTAACACAGGGTATCTCTGTTTCATTTCAGACCAATTCAGTAGCAGACTGAGGAGAACGCTTCTATTCCTGGAGCTGTCCTAAATAAGAGTAATTCACTTTGTACTGTGCTCTGTGGTCTTTCAACAGTGGAATGCTTCTGATTTCTTTTGCAATGGCTGTGTTCAGTGCATTGCATTTGCAGGGTTGAACACTTGATAAACCCTTTAAAAAAGGCCACAGCAGCATGCCTGAGTGACAGCTGCAGGAATATGCCGATACATTTTGATTTTATCTTTCATGACCTTGGATGCTTCCCTTTGTATGTTCATCCTCAGATTTAGAAAAGGCAATCTTGGAAGTCTATACCTTTTACGCTGAATAAGTAAATAAAAATCGAGAAAGAAGGCACAGACCATACTATCTTTGAGACAAGGGTGAGGTTATTTCTCAGTTACATCTCCGGAGTTGTAAACTGTTCTTCAGCAGCCCCAGCAGCCAGAAGCATGATTAAGTATGTGGAAAGAGGGAAGAAAATTTTAATGACACATTTCAAAATAGAAAACAGAAATGACAGAGTGTTCAACAGTAAATGACAACTACAGGATAAATCAAATCCTGAATACCAAACAGCTGCAATTTATGATAACATCAGTAACAAAAGACTAGAAATTCTTGGTCAAACCCAGCAATTATTGATAAATAGCTTGCTGAAATAAGAATGCTGATATAGTGCATGGAAAATTGTATTTTAAACCTTCTATCAGTGTCCTTAGACAGGTAAAGGTATAGAAAGGGAAGAATCATCAGATTATCTGCAGATTAAATAATGTGCAAAACCATTTGGGATTGGACTAAATTACATTTTAAAACTGATGAATGTTCATTCCTTTTACCCCATACCTTTTTCACTGCATATAAGCTTAAATTTTAAAATCTATGGGGTGGAAATTTAATGTTACTGTCAATAGCATGAGCCTAAAGACTGGCTATAAAAAAACTGCATGTGACTAAACACAAGAAAGCTGTCAGCTATGGCAGGAATTCTACTAAATGCTAAGTAATAGAGACTAATGCTGAATAATGTCAGTAGGTGTGAACATAGATTTGATTCTGTAATTCTGTGAAATCTAAGCAAAATCTCTGCTAAGTTCAGACAGTTACTTGCAAACAAGAGTAGCTCAAACTGAACGTTGGTGGCGCGTGTTATTTCAGACATAATGAGGTTAATGATTTGTATGTGTTAACTGCATGAACAATTTATATCTTTAGGAAATATGAGATATAATCAAAAAAAAAAGTGCTTCTTGATATACAAGCAAGCAAGTTTCAGTCAGGATGCAAGTTTCATCCTATAACCCTGCATGGTTGTAGCTGCTGTGGTGCTGTTTGTTCAGTAATACTCCAGCTGACATAAAAAGTCTTGATGGCTATTCTGATTTCAAACTGAGTCTGAAGAAGTTCTGACTGTGTGTATCTTCTGGTAGAAACTGTGTTGCATCTGGATGCCAAAGCCCACTTTTATCTCTTTGAATTATACTTTCCTTCTAGATCACATCAAGTGTAAGGAACAACAACGCTAAGTATATTATTGAAGGTGAATATGCCAACACCATTTTTAAAGTGGAAGAAACCAGTGGTGATGTATATGCATTTGAGAGGCTAGACAGAGAAAAGAAAGCAGAGTATGAGCTGACAGCTCTCATTATTGACCGAAGAAACAACCAGTCACTGGAACCCCCATCTAAATTCATTATCAAGGTTTACGATATTAATGACAACGTCCCTGTATTTGTACAAAAAGTATTCAATGGATCTGTCCCAGAAATGTCACCAGTAGGTACGTTCTTCCATCACTCATTTCTCTTCATGTCTCTGGTTAAAAAGCAGAATTTATACTAAATATGCTGTTTGAAAATCCTTTTCTAGGAACCTCGGTCACCAAAGTGACAGCTGTAGATGCTGATGACCCAACAGTTACAGGTCATGCCACAGTTACCTACCAAGTCATTAAAGGACACGAATACTTCACAGTTGATGACTCTGGTAGGTCAGATACGCAAATGTCCTTACACTTTGTCCCTACCTTACACTTTGAAGAAAATGCAGTTTTAAGCTTTTTTTGTTCTGGACAAGGGGGATAATAATTCAAAAGTATAATTTTAACCATAATTTAGAAAGATTTTTCATTCATACTCACACAATGCCACCGTCTGCATCTGGAAATGAACTAATAAAGTCAGGCTATCAGGTGCCGTGAACTAAATGAGAAGGTAAAAGGTCATTTTTTTCCCACTGATGAAGAGACTGACTAGGAGCTAATATAAGTTAATGTTTTCAGTTTAGCATAGATACCATTCCTTTGAACAAACAAGAAGAGGGAATACATAAATTCTGAAGCAGCATTCAATAATCAGTAACTCAATCCTTTGCTTTCCGAAACTTTCTTGTTCAAATTTCACCCAGTTTTAAAAATAATGTCAGTATCTCTTGTAACCATACTAGTCCTCTGGAGCAAATAACTCAGATAAAGAGGTGCTCAGACAGACTCTCTAGATGCTGGAGCGACCAAGTTTAGACATTGTTAGACTGCTTCTAAGCAGCAAAGATCAGTTTAAAGGAATGTATTGAACAAAATCTCCCAAACATTCCAGCACGTAGAAAGATTTCTAACATTTCTAGCCTTAGAAAAACACTACTGTAAAAATGCTACTTAAAGCTGAATGTGTGGCATAAGACAAAAATTTGCTGTCAAAATTAAGAGATGTTGGACATGCTGCAAAATCTAATCATATTCAATGTTATTTTTTCAAAGGTGTGATTTCTACAACAAGGGCTGATTTAGACAGAGAGAATCAATCAACATATGAAATTATTGTTAAAGCAAAAGATGCTCCAGGGTCTTCTGGGGATTCAAGCACAGCTACAGTCGTTATCACTTTAACTGACATCAATGACAACTTCCCAGTATTCAAACACCGTAAGTATAATGCAAGCGCTGTATCATTTGGAAACTGAGGGTTGACACAACTATAACGAATTTATGTCAGAGTTCATCACAATTCAACTTTTCTTAAAAGAGGGCAAAAGAATCTTACATATTCAGAAGGTCTTCTGTATTTCAGCCCTAGCAACATTTCCTGGGTGACAGACAACTAGAGAAGAAAATAAAAATCAGTATTAATTTCATCACTTCGTACAAGATCTTGACAATTTTGAGAACTAATTACACTTTGAGAAAAAACACATCAAAGTGCTGTCTGTAGAGATATATAATGCTGAATTCTCAGTGAAATATTTTTCTATACCTCTATAAACTAAGGACAATTTTTAACTAAGTTCTAACCTCCATGTTAGAACATCCATCCTGGACAGGCTGGATCGATGGGCTGAG